ACGAGGTGACTCGCCCTTGGTAGTCTGGGACATTCGTCATTCTTCTGATGCTTACTGTGTTCTTGTACATGGTGATGTTGCTGTCTCTTAGGGAGTCCAACCTTGAGGTACTCGAACGCGAATTCACGGACAACCTGAGTCTGTTGAGGAAACTGCAAAAGGAGCCTGTGAGTCGGGTGCGTTTTGATCCGGATTCTTAAAGACATTGTAGAATACTTATTATTAGTGATTTACACTTGACGTATTTCTAGTTGCCTCTGTACACTACTTTTGACGTGGTCAGGGCAATTAAATTAGAAACATTGCATGTTAATTATGCGTAAACGGTGTTGATTAAGTAATCGCGATTATCTTGGCACTTTCATGCATCAGGAGAACAAGAATTGCCTAGGGACACAACCCGGAGAAACCATGTCCCTACACGAGCACAAGGCTATCGTAGGCAATTACGAGTCGAAGTGCAGCACCTTGACAGCTGCGAACGAAGAGCTTCGACAGGCCTATGCGCGAGTCGCAGAGGAATTGGAGTGCGCCCACAGACAACACTCGGAGTCGATCGTGTCTCTTGAGTCGACCACGGTGCCGAAAAGGGCCTATGACGAACTCTTGAGCAGACTAACACAAACCCAAAATATTGTTGGTGAATATGAGAAACATTTCAAGCAGTTTCAGGTAGGTCAATGTTGGTTTATTGGCAGCGCTTTCAAACAGCAGGATCTTTCCCCCCTCCCGATTGGCTTCGATCATCATCCTGTAAAACAAACTCAACCATTTGCATGTAGGCCAACATGCTCCCAGAATGTGAGTAAAGCAACCTGTTGAGTAAAATCGCCTCCCACTTGCAACGTTTGATAAAACATGCCTACTCATGTGTAACTCGTGTAGCAGACAGGAAGCGAGCCAGTATGTGGCAGGGGGGTGGTTGAGTGGGGGCGCTGAAGTGAGTTCCAAAGTTGTCGCGACCGACGTGGTACCCATGGCTGGTCCTGAAGGTCAAAGGTGGGGTAGGGGGGTGCAGCATTAATGCCAACGAAAGGGGACCGCGATGTGCGTGTATTTTTAGTGGATCCTGATTGCTTCACTGGACTACATCTACGATTACCTTTTTTTTCAAAAATTTGGGTTGACACATTTTTACTGGGTGTGTTTTTGTGTTGTGGCCCACAAGTCACATTTTCACATTCTTTCTTCCGCATTTTAGGCCTATGAGGAGAAAATGAACGAGATCGAGATCAAATATTCGAGTTTGGTGGAACAGGCCAAGTACAAGCGTGCTGTTGGTAATAACCACGTTGATTTTGTCCATTTCATGACTAGAACGTCCCAGAATTAAAATCTAATTTTACGGTGCCGAGGTGGGCAATTTGGCCGAGTGTCTGATGTCTTGTTTTGTGGCTTCATAACTTGTTAGCTGTACA